ACCAAGGGCTCTGCGCCCCTCTGCAGTTCAGGCCAATACTCATATGATTAGGAAAAATCAGATAACTCCATTATTATAATTTAAGGTTACTCAGATTGGTTTAGCTTTTTTTTCCCAGTGCAGGACGAAAAACATCAAAGAGAATGACCATCCCTTGGTCAGCTATAGGAGAGAAACTCATTTTTAAGCTCTGAAACCTTCAACAACAAGGCAATGAAAGCTTTTGTCTGGCTCTTCGAAGCTAAGCTGAAAAAGACTCTCAGAAAATGTGCTTAATGAATTAACTAATGCATGTAACAGCACTTTTGTGCCCATGAAGGTCCTGGACAATCCTTTCAGCTAAGCACAAAAGGACTATGAAGTCATTAAAAGAAGTACCTTCTGACATGGCCATGTACAGCATTGACATAAAGTGAAAGGGGCTGTTCTAAATGAGAACTAGCAATATAACCAAAGTTTAACATTAATACTTTATAATTCTCCTTTTAGCATTCAAAAAAGAAAAAAGGCTTCATTTTACTAGTGGGCTTTACGGAGTGATGATTTACCTATTGTGAAATGTCTAGAAAAATAGAGATAAAGAGGATGTGAGGGCAACCTTATGAGGATCTTCTACTACTTGATGTTAGAAAGGAAGTAGCTAGATTCTAAATGTTGCTTTTTTCCCAAGGAAAAATCAAATTTCCAAGAAAAATGTTTTATTTTAAGGACACAATTCTTTTCCCCAAACCTTCCACCTCCTGGTATTTTATCAGTATGTACAGAGACAAAGCACGAGAGGGAGAAAGGAGCTGCTAAAAAGGCGTTGTTAACAAAAATGAACAGCAAGAAAGAACATATTTCCCCTGATTTTCTGAGTGGTTTGTTTTCTCTGTCTCCTGGGGAAGGGGTTCCTCCTGATTTTCTAGTTGTCATGTATACAGATAGGGGAGCTCTGGCAGGCAGTGACAATGAAAATGATGCTGTGCTGCCTTTCAAGCACAGTTTAATGTCCAGCAAATCAAAACGTTTTCCAAATATCCAGAAATTCTTTTACTACCAATGGACGAATGAAGAGAAAGAACAAGACAGTGATGTAGTCAATAACAGGGAGCATTTAGTGAGCCACGGGAGCCATTTCCTTTATGCACAATGAGGCCCTGTTATTGTAAAGGTTGCCCTATTATTTGCCCAGTTTCCAGCAGGAACAGAGCAAGAGCTGTAAATTAAAGGAAAACTTACCATGAAGCTACCTTTTGCCATTAGTTCCGGAGGTAGTTCTTGAGTTCTTATTCTATGTTTTGATCATTCAGAGCATCCTTTCAATGAAAACCTCAGTTTTTCTGCTGGATCTGGGCGACATTGCCTGATGCTTCCCCTCTCAGTCTGATGACAGCATTAGGAAGTAAAGAGTCCATGTGTTAATGCAAAAAGATGGTCATTTTCTTCTCCTCAAGATTCACTTCAAGAAATGCCATTTTTAAGACATAGATTGAGGATTAATTTTACAACTGGGAGTTATTGAAAGAGTAGAAAAAAAATAGGAATGGTTCAGATCCAAACTGGTGTAAGCAGCTGTGAGTCTGGTCGTAGCAAAGATGTGAAATGCATTTAATTTAGATGTAAGCAGTAATATATGTTGACCAAGTACAGAAACGAGTGAATGCTTGCAACCAACCAAACCCAGGGAAAAGGTATTGAGACCTTAAACACCTGGATGAAATGAAGTGGTGAAAGCCAACATATTTACTACATTGCAGGGGCACACTTCACTCTGTGGCGCAGGTAAAATAGCAGGAGAACATAAACAAACCTCTTCACTGAGGTCGCCTTCTCATTTCCTCCAGCCAGTTGCCTGACAGTCACATGCACTGCAAGCTAAGCTAGTAGAAACTGCAACCTAATTCAGTATTTACAGCTGATTTATCCCTCGGCTGGAATTGGCTCCAGCTTCCTATGTCACCATAATTTGGCCCAGCTCCCCAGAAGAAGTCTCCCTGGAGCCATGCGGCCAAATAAGCTCCCCAAAGGCAACAATTCTAGGGAACAATTCCTTAAACAAGAAGAATAAAGCTTCAATCAAATAAAAAAAGAGGGGGGGATGAGGAGAAGTGGAGAAGTCATTGTTTTATATTCCCCTTTGTGGCTGAACCTTGCTCTTGCTAGATTAAATCAGAGTTACCATTCCTTTAACTGACCGCGGGACAAGGTTGGATCTCAGCGGGAAACCGAGCAATAAAACCCAGGGAGTGATGAGCAGGTCACAGGTACCCTCTCGTCATCCCACATGCCAAGGATGAGTGAAGGACTGGTAACTGCAAATGCTAGAACTAAAAGGGCAAGTTCCTCTTTGCAAACATCCCATAATACCATTTCAGCAAGTTGTAAGTTAGGGAATATGCCTTATGATCCTGGAAGCAGGGTAACCACTTAAGAGACCAGTGCATAAACTGCAGTAGAAGTCACCCCAACACTGTCTTCTTAATTAAGACAAGTCTTCCTGGTTACAAAGGATACTGGAACAAGAATAATGCAGCAAGTTGCTTAACACCACTTGTTATTACTCTGTTCTATTTTGACTTGCCAGACTGAAACATAGAACAAGACATGGTTTTCCTAAACGCCTTGGGTGGTGATTGCTTGTATGAGTGTATTTTGGAGTGTTACTCTGCTACCCAGTCAGTTTGCATAAGTACTGTTTTAGAGGCACTAAACAACATGTGTGTGTGCAGAGATGCTTAAACACATGCTCAGAAATATTGCAGGCTTTTAACCTTCCAAGATTTACTAAAATACCTTGAAAATCTGACAACAAAGCTTGTAAAAAAAAAGCAGCAGAGTAGAAAAAAAAATCCCTACAAGATTTTATGAGTGAACTTTTCCTATTTGAGAGTCAAATGAACTTAGCCCACTTGAAATTCAAAGCAATGTATCCATAACTTGCAATTAGCAATGGAAATATAGAAAGAATGTATGCAATTATCATAATGTAGTTAGCTATTTTGGAATTGTAATGAAATCTGGGGGTTGTCAGCTATAATGTATTGGAACATACTAAGCTAAGGGATTTAACATGTTATCATCTTTGCAGTATACAGAAATAAAAAGGAATATAATACAGATCAGAGAGGTCACATAATATGCCCCTCTAAATTACCTGCCTTTGATTTTCACATTCTTCTTCTGTAAAAAGAATTTAAAACCCACAAGTAGTCAGCTTGAGTTATTTTGCCCCTTTAACTTGACCTCTTCCCACACACAAACACAGAATCATAGAATCAACCAGGTTGGAAAAGAGCTTCAAGCTCATCCAGTCCAACCGTTCCCAGCACTCCAAGGCCACCACTGCCCCATGGCACTGAGGCCTCGTCTCCACGCTGTGTGAACATTTGCAGGGACGGTGACTGCAGCCCTGCCCTGGGCAGCCTGTTCCAATGCCTGAGCACCCTCTGGGGAAGGAATTGTTCCTCAGCTCCATCTAAACCTGCCCTGGTGCAGCTTGAGGCTGTCTCTTCTTTTCATGTCACTTCTTACTTATCACAGAATCATAGAATGGTTTGGGTTGGAAAGGACCTTAAGATCATCCAGTTCCAGCCCCCTGCCATGGGCAGAGGCACCTCATACTAGACCAGGTTTCTCCAAGCCCCTGTGTCCAACCTGGCCTTGAGCACTGCCAGGGATGGGGCAGCCACAGCTTCTCTGAGCACAGTTCTTCTCTGGGAAGAACTTCTTCCTTATATCTAACTTGAACTTCCCTTGTTTCACTTTGAACCCATCACTCCTTGTCCTATCACTAGTCCCTGATGAAGCTGATGGACATGCATGATTGCACTGAAATGTTTAAAGAAAAGAGTGTGAGTACTGAATAGCGTAAGTAACAGCTTTGACGTCGGTTTCAGGAATAACAAGTTATTCACAAAGCAAAGAGAAACCATGTAATTTCTTCTGCCCATCCGTAATGCTTTTCTGCCATGAACCCACCACGTCAACGTCAGAGGCTTTGGCAAAAGCACTTAAACATGCATTCAGCTTCATACAATGGATTGACCCAGCTTCTGCATCACAAATATAAACGCATCTAATTCCTGTCATTATACTTAAACAGCTTAATGACCTCTAAAGGCAGAAGCATCAGTTTCTTTCTTTTCATGCATGTTTTTCTGTTTCTATTTAGATATCTTTGTTTGGGTATCTGGTACATCTCCCACCCACATTTACTTTCCTGGTCCTCTATTCGCAAGCAATTGAAATACATCCATCCTCCCCTTAGGATGTATTTCTAGCAGCTGGGTTCTCTCCTACACAGGTCATCCCTCCTTATACTGTGGAATATCAAGCCAACCCCATAGACATAAACGAGGCTATATTGAACGAAAAAAGACATTTGCTACTAAAAAGCCTCACCTCCACCACAAACTAACGTGGATGCCTTGTATTTATTCACATATACCGTCACAGATGTCCTTAAACCAACACTAGAAGGCAGAGCTAGTGGCAAAAGTAGTTTTCATACTTCCAAGTATATTAACGCGTTCTTGCAAGATTCTAACCTGATTGAAAATGTTTTACCAATATAATGCTTCCACAATGGTTCTTAAGCATTTGAGAGTATGACACTATTCCAGAACACTGTAGAAACAAGCAAATGTGCTCCTAAAAAGATTTTCCTGACCCTTTTTGAAAAGCTTGACTATCTGGTCATCTATCTAGAGAAAAGTACATGTTATACAGTACTTCATACTCTTTAGACAATAGGTATTTGATGGCAGTATCAATAAGCGCTGTTTAAAGAGTTTCCATCTGCTTCTCTCATCATTACAGATAAAGCAAATGGCATCAAGGTGTATGGAAGGTGCTAATGCTCTGAATTCTTCTCCTCATTTTTGCACTGAAGAGATGATTCAGGAAATGCTCTTCTAACACAGGTCATTTCGTATGTGTAAAGTTAAAGCTATTTCTGTCTAAGTCAGCATATCTCATGATAGGAATTTCTATTTCAACATCGAATTTGGAACTCTTACCATGGTCCACAAATTCAGCCACGCATAGTTGACTTGACCCATTTCCACTTGGTTCATCATGCCCTGTGAACGCATAGTCGCATGTAATGGCTGGTTGAGAATGAATTGGACGTTTTGAAGTCTGCCCATCAGATTCCTTAGTCGAATGAAGCAGCATGGAGAAACAGGTAAGAGTTAGAGCTTTCAGCAGGATCACAATATAGTGGTTACCCTGATCTACGCAATTGTTGGGACCTGTATTATGATCAATACTGACTCAGCCATATAGCAGGGACACATTGAACATGCTATTTTCTCCAAACACAATGATAAATAGAAGCTAGAGTGATTATGAAAGAAGAGGTAGGAGAAAAAAAAAACTACATAAAATCTCATTATTTCTGTGATGCTTTCACTGAATATTTCCAAACTGACACTGTTCTCTGTGATAAAATGTAGTGGTACAATTGAAAAGGCCTGTCTTCTGTTAGAGATAGCTTAAAGCTTACACTGGGAGTCATTCCAAGACTTCATTCTTAATAAAAAGCCAATTGAAATGTTAATATTCTCAACTAATCAAATGAAAAGAACCCACAGCCCTGCCAAATTACAGTGTTTAAAGGATTACAACTCTAAACTTGTGTTGAAAATGAATGTATTTTGACCTCTGATATCATACAGACTCTAAGTAAGTCCATACCAGACAGCAGATTCAGATTCAAGGGTGACTTAATAACAGAAAATTGAGCAATGAATACAGAGTATGTCAAACCAAATCTGAATAAGTGAATGTACTTTCCCTCATCACAGATCCACAAGGTACTGTACCTTGTGGTCCAGACTTTTATGCACTTCCAAATGATTAGTCTCAGAACAGGACTCTGCCTCTAGTGCTAAAGAATCACGTGGGAAACAGAGAAGTGTTGTACACCGAATGTGCATAAACAAGGCTTCCAAAGCAATAGCCCGTTACTTACACGTAGGACATCAACATTCAGCTGCTGAAAATTACGGGACCTGAATTCTTGCATTTTCTTGATATTTTCTTGATATTTTTCCTCTGCCAGCTGTCTGTAAATCCAGAATACTTCTGGTTAGGATGTGGTATCAGGGAGAGGACAAAGGCATCTTCTAAACGTAGTTGTGGAAAACCAAATTCCATGATTAGACCCCCATGGTGCCAAATGTTCATGGCATCTTATCATCTCGAGGTTACTTTGGATGAACTCACAAAGAGATTTCAGGCCTTAATTCCAAAACACTAGTATATTTTCCTTTCACAACTTGTATAATATTATTGAGAAACCATAAATTATTAGTCCCGTTCTTTTTTGGTCCTTCCAAAGCTTTTAAATTCTTTGGACCTTATTCCACCATTTAGGGACCTTTCAGGTGAACAAAAGGCATGCAACATTTATGTTCTATGAACACTTCACCTGGGGAAGAGTTATTAACTGTTGGGACTACTTAAGCCAGGTGCTATGTTAAGCAGTTCTTCCAGTTTCCACCACTATACTCTCTTCCCATCCATCTCCAGATTTGCACTGCTGAAAGCAGTTCTCCAGTCAGAGAAGGTACTGCTTTTGCAGAGTTTCAAATGCTGTCAGTCAGAGTCGGCAGGCAACAACCCAGAGCTAAACATAGATCCAATTTAAAGGTTCACGACTGAGAACAAGGTTTGAAGATTAATATGTTGCTTTTATATTACAAAAATAAATATATTCTTTTTTTCTGGGGAAAAAATCTAACTAGAACACATTAAAATGCAAGAAAGCAAAGAAAATGAAAATAAAGCTAGAACTCCATTTGCAAAAAGTGAGACAGACTTCCTATTTATAAAATTCATATAAGTACCAAAATTTGCCTACCACATTATTGAAAATACCATGCAGAAGAGGTGTTGAATTTAATACTTTTCAGACAGTGGTTTCAATTCAGGAAGACTTCTTTTAAATGAGAATAAATTTACATACCATCTCCAGTATCAAATGCAACAGTAAGTGTCAGACAGACAGACAAACATAAATGCTCAGCAGACCACTGGTATTTTCCAAAGGGAAATTCATGCCTTTAGTTCTTCTGTTTGTAACTTTTGGGTATAGACATCACAAGATGGCACAAGTAATGCTCGGATGTGATTTTACAGAGCATTTCTGCTCAACTGAGGTTACTTTTGATTGCAGGCCTATGTAGCTGCAGAGTTCCTGAGGCTGTAAGTATAGACTTCATGTCACCTGACAATATTCTTCTTTACTAGGACATCATTGCTTTACTGAACTGATGACTTGCTTTGGCACGACAGGGTTAAGATGCTGATTCTTGCAATCAAAATTAAGTATTCCCTCTATTACCCATTTACATTGCACTTTGCAAAAATGCTTTTGAAGAAACCATAAAAGATTAATTAATGTGGTGCTTTTCACATTTTCTTTCATACCAAATAAAACATTGGATATTTCTAACTGTGAAAAGCTCAAGTGTGTCATCAAAACAGCGTATTCTTCTCTTCATTTAGAAAAAGAATCCATGCATAGACATGGCATTTACTCAATCAAAAACCATAAATCATAAAGCCTTTATAACATGTCCAATACCCTCTTCTGCCCATCTGACAAGACTATCCTCTGAGCTATTAACTTCTATTGGCAAATCTCTTTGGCCAAATCAACTGACAAAAGCTGGATTGTAACGGAATGTCCAGCTCCTCTAATTGTGCAATCCTTAAAATGCCAAGTCATTAAGAAAAAGTTGCCTATTGTAACACATCTGAAGATCTCTCATACATTTATTTAACCAGAAACACAGTACTCAATTATCAGTTCTGGGCTAATGTTCTGACTTTTTTATTACATAAAGTTCTTCAACTCATCCAAAAATCCCCATTCACTTTGAATAGCTGAAGACCTTTTCTACTTCTATTTTTGCCTTGACAGTTCTAACTGTCTGCTTAGGCTGGTGGATGGGTAAAGTGCATGGCTAGGGCACAATGCAAGCTATACGCTCAACTTACTTCAACTTCTTTGCCTTCTCATCAGCAGCATTTAACTTCCTCAGCCTCATGCGTTCCCGCGGTGTCATCTTCTGTACTTCAGACAGATCCTGCAGAGTTTGCAGATGAACTTTCCTCTGCCTGGAATTGAATACATGCAAGCCCATCTTAATATAAAACTGTAAATATCATTACTTTGATTTGATATTGAAACACAGTTGACATTTCAACTGGAATAATTAGAAATCCACAGGTTCTGGAACAGATTAAATAGGCTTTCATTTGGAAAGCAAATGTCTGTTAGATGAATTTAAACTGAGACCCATGAAGAGCATGAATCAGTTCAGGCATCTCAGGTGAAAATGGCAAAAAAAATAACCTCAGCTCCTAAAAACAATAAATGAAGAAGCACAGTGAAATATTTACCCTGTCAGGCTTCATTACTGAGCATATTCCAAGTAGAAAGGCAGTCTTTAAATGAGAACCACAGAAAAAGCCAACATAACCCATACAGCTTACATTGACTGTTACAAGCTGTCTAGCAAAGAAGAGAACATTAATGTGTCTTTCATGACAGATATAATTATCATGTTGGCCTCTTGAATTTCTGCTCCTAATCAATAATAATTCACCAGTAAAATGGTCTCCATAGACCATCTCTGAAAGCTGAGCATGAATTATTGGCATATGTATCTCAACTGCATTTATCAACAGAGAAGAGTCCTGTATCGGAAAATGGATATTAATCTCAGATTTTCACCTCTCATCCTGCAGTAATTACATATCTTAAACCATAGTTTGAAACACCTCATCAGTCATGTTTCCCTTACACCAATATGTATTTATTATGTCATGTATTTATGATACCAAGTATTCATTTCAAGTTACTATTTTTGCTCTTCTGAGCTAAATTCACTTCTGATCATCTAGGAGCCCAGTTTTGTTACCACACAAATTGTAACACTCCTTCTGGACTATCCTTCTGAAATCAGGATTTTAATAAATGAGAAGTTCTCATTACGTTTTTCAAATGTTGACTATAGAGGGAAATAGTGCAAAGATATGAATATTAGTGTGAAATATGAAAGGCTAAGGACAAAGACGAGTTCAATTATTCATAAGTATGGAACCAAGTCTTCAAGTATGAATAATGTAGACGTATTTCTTGTGCCCTATAAAAAAAACCTAATTTAAATTACAAAAATCTCTTGGGGAAAAAAACCTATTTTGCATCCAAGTCGAAACTGAACTTGTACAGTTTTATCCTTCGTTATTCAAAATGTATGACTTGCATGGGACTGGAATAAAGGAAGCCATTAGAGGACTTTACCAGAAGAAAGTAGGTTCAACTATACATGGCAAAAAAAACTTCCTGGAAAGAAAAGAAGAATCATAAATATAAAGTAGTAATGATTAAGGAGTACACCAGAACAAGCAGCTCCCTGTACACTCACTCGGACTGCGGTACTGTTTCATTACAGCAGATGTGGGAAATTCACTGTGTTCAAGTTATTTCTCCTCCAATTTTCTGCTCTCTAGCATTTCTGAGGCACTTTTATTTCATCTGGCTTCCTCTTTAGATCTGGGATTGCAGCAATTATTTGGCATTTTGCTTCCCAGTAGCCATACAAACAGGTAACATTCTCACAAATACAATGAAAGTCATAATAAGACAATGACTTAATGCATATCCCAAACATTTTGCCAAAAATAATCAGACTGAAACACATCTGAAGATAATTTACAGTGAACCTCCTCCTAGAGTATTATTTTTTAGTCAAATTGATGCTCTGAATTTGAAAACCTCAAGGTAAATTTCCATGCTCAAACAAAACCAGTTCTCACCAATTGCTCCACAATTATTAGGAACTCTGAACCTCTGCATGGAAGCCGCTGGCTTTCTATTTCCTTTTAGCACATGTATAAGATCATGATGCTTGCAGTCAGAACTTGCTCTTCGTCTTAGAGACCACAGACTTACTTTTAAATAAGAATAGGTATAGATTCTAGGATATACATGAATGTCCTCCTCCTATGATAGCTCTGTCAATACATGATGTGCATTTGGACTCAATACACTCAAACTAATGACAACGGACCAGATATGGAACACAGCATATGTCACAAATAATAGAAAGTGGCTTTATCAGACTGTTGTAGAAGTCTGTGTATGTATTTTGCAGGTAAAAATACTGCTTCCTCAAAGAGAGAACGTGAAATCCTGTACCCACAAAATAAAGACATGGATTAAAATTTATGTTTCAATAGGCATTAAATACCCAATATAATTCAGATAGAGTTTGCATAATATTTGGGCAACATTTCAGTGCCCCCAAACTATTTAAGGTATATCTCTAAAGAATATCTCTTCAGCTAACTATACTCAATTTGAAGAGACAGGAATCTGTGCAAAATTAATTGAATCAACTTGAATACAGCAGCCATAGACAAATGATACATCTAATACTTCCTGGCTATTGCATATCTACCTGTCTGACTCTATTCCCAGTATACTAGCAAATGGTTACTTTTAGCAGATGATCAGAATAGTAAGGCCAAAAACTTGATAGCAGTCTCTGCTAGCTCCACTTACTGTTATTTATTAGATAATTGCTACTTAGCCAATACAGGTATCGTTTATTGTTGCATTTTAATTCTATGCTTGCAAAGTTGAAGACCCTATTTATATTAAAGGTAGTTATTTATACCAAAATGTGGAACTTTGGCCTCTTAAAGAGACAGGAACTCATCTGTCAATGAAAGAGAGCAAGAACAGAAGTGACAGGGTGGAAACCCAAACCACAATTTCTAGAGATAAGAGCTTTACAGATATACTCCCCGTAGTTACACTACATAAAAAACACGGACAGAAGATTTTGCTGTGTAGAATTACACTGTCTTTGCTCTGCTGTTTTCCTAACACCAATAGTAAATAACACCTTGGAAGAGCTGAAGCTGGTCACTTCTCCCAAAGGGATGCTTGCGAGCAGCAGAATTGGCAACACCTACAAAGTGACCACAGCCACAAAACTGTGGGTCCTCTCCAAGAGCACAGGTCACTAAAAGCCACTGTCAGAGTCTTGGCAGCTATTTAGGAGAGAAAAAACATGGATAAACAGTGCATCCACACAGGACCACAGACTCCTGAACTTCAGTGTGCTAGCTTCTAATAGAGCAAAGCCATGTACAGAAAACTCAGGGGCAGGAAGCAAAGGGGAGGGTGAGCTGCCATCAAAACTGCAGAGATCATTTACAAAGGCAAAATGAAGCTGCCCATACTGACGTTTGCTTTAATCAGTGCAGCACTGAAATTTAATGCAATTCATTCTTCTCATATATATTCGGTGCCTAAAAGAGAGATCATGTGCGAAGGCATTGCTGGTGTAAGAGCCAAGAAACATCGCTAGTCTTAGCTTCTCGCAGTAGTTGCAAGATAATATAATAGTACCCTACAGACATATGAGCTGAATATTAGTTTAAGTGCAAATGCTTTTAGTTTAATGTCATTTAGGAATCATAGCTTTCACACTTAATAATTAGTAGCTATACAAACAGCAGCACTATAAATTATCATGACATAACTAAAATGATGATTTAAACTTTCAAAATGTGAAGACAAAGGTCATAATTTACATGCCAATGAGTACTAAATTATCGTGTGCATATACTACATGCATGTACAATTTACACAGTTGTATAATAAAAAGATTTGATTTGCAAATCCTATTGTTCCCCCCTGAATCTTAATCATGCATCTCACTAATGTGATGGCTCCTCTGTGTTTCTGGGGAATGGGTTCCTCTAAATATTAAGCACTATGAGAACAATACAAGCGGTTACAACATTATAATATTTGCCAAGACTGTAATTTTATACATAGTGTGTACATACAGACCATATACAGAGCTGCATCCCCAGCAGTGTGAGCAGCAGCTCAAGGGAGGTGATCCTGCCCCTCTGCTCTGCTCTTGTGAGACCCCACTTGCAGCACTGTGTGCAGCTCTGGTGTCCTCAATATCAGAAGGACATGGAGCTGTTGGAGCAAGTCCAGAGGAGGGCACGAGGATGATCAGGGACTGGAGCACCTCCTGAATGGAGACAGGCTGAGAACATTGGGGCTGTTCAGCCTGGAGAAGAGAAGCTGCATGGAGACCTCAGAGCAGCTTCCAGTGTCTGAAGGGGGCTACAAGGATGCTGGAGAGGGACTCTTCATCAGGGACTGTAGTGACAGGACAAGGGGTGATGGGTTCAAACTGAAACAGGGGAAGTTCAGGTTAGATACAAGGCAGAAGTTCTTTAGTGTGAGGGTGCTGAGGCGCTGGCACAGGGTGCCCAGAGAAGCTGTGGCTGCTCCATCCCTGGCAGTGTTCAAGGCCAGGTTGGACAGGGCTTGGAGCAACCTGGTCTAGTGTGAGGTGTCCCTGCCTGTGGCAGGAGGCTGGAACTGAATGACCTTTAGGTCCTTTTGAACCCAAACCATTCTGTGATTCTGTATTCTGCTGCCCATAAAACAGTTAAAAATACTTACACAGCATCAAAAATGGGAGCAGCCTCTTTCTGCCAGTCAAGTGCCTTGTTTTTCACAGTCATGTTTGTGAACTTGCACTGCATACTCTGCAAGGAAATAAGATAGCACTGGTGTCAACACCTGAGGCTGAAGTGATCCAGATTCTTTGGGAATGACCCAGTGCAGTTGTAATGCAAAAACTGACTGAGCAGTTTCCTTCCCCTCCTTCTCAGAACACCAAACAATATATACACTGAAGCAGGGGCTACAAGAGCAAGATGCTCTGGTTTTCGTTAAAACTAGGACTAATCAGAACAGTTTAGAGACTATATATACCCAGGCCCGAATGATCTGCACTTGTTACACATAAATGCCCATTCTCCTTATTGCTCACAACATTTATAAAGGGATTCATTCAGGATGCAAAATGACAAGGGCTTCATTTCTCACTGCCTCACTACCTCAGGCATATTTGCAATTTAGCTCTGGATTTCCCCCCTGGGTTAATATTCCCATGAACTCCTATCTCACCTTTTTTTCCTCAACACATTTACTTTGCCTCTATTCTGCTTTTGCACAATACACACTCAAACAGTAAGTATGTGGCTGAAGCTCTTTCTTATATACCTTTAGCTGTTCATCAATAAAGGGGATTTGAAGGATCCCAGCTGCTGTTGGTCTCGAAGAAGGGTCCTTATTTAACATGCTGAAATGTTAAAAACCAAAAGTCATCCTTATGTGGTTTTCCAAGTTTACATTGAAAAGTGCTATAAAAAGAGAAAAACGTACCTGCATAGCACAGCATTCAGCTTGCTTGGGTATCTCTCAGGAAGAGAAGGGGTATCACCCTCTACAATCTTTAACACCACAGACAAAAAGTTGTGTCCAGAGAAGGCATGGTTCAGACAGCACATCTCATACAAAATGCACCCCAGAGACCTTGAAGAAGTACAGGAGTAGTATAAGCAATATGTTTGGAAGCAGCATGCATGGTGACATAGAGACATAGAAAGAGAAATCACAGCTGTTTTCTCCCAGGAAGAGGATATTTCATTACCGTGCTATCCTTTCCACCTGAAAGATTTCTATTCAGATCACAAATTAGTAACTTTATAAACGGGAGATATCATCATTCTGTTTCTGTAAGTGTACATAAATTCTGCGTGTAAACACACATATCCATATATATCCATATATATGTGCGTGTGAAAATAAAGCAAAACCCTATCATATTAACTACCTCATGTGGCTACTCATTGAATTAAGAATTAGTGACTGCCTGAAAAGATCAGGAGTGTTTGGACACGGGTTTGTTGAAATTGGTTTTGCAAATCGATTTCTGGTAATAAACTGAGGCTAAAATTCAAGTTCGTATTCAATACTGCCAGTTTCAAATAGCAGAAGTGTCTGCTGGTGTGGTTGCACTCATTTAGCCAAACACTCACAATAGGTTATGAAATGAGTTTACTCTCAGATATAAAACTTTCAGATAAAAGCATCAGATTGCAACATCTAAAACCAAATTTCTGTGAGATTTTATTTGGAGAAGAAGGTCTGGAAACCAAGCTGAGAACCAGTGTTAGCTTTAAATCAGTAAAAAACAGGAGGAAAGATTACAAACAACTTTAAATGAGTCTTTGGCTTACCATCACCCCAGGCTTTTACTCGCCAGTCCTAATGGAGATCATAAAAGATCACGAAGATGAACATCTTAACACAAACACTCTCATAATAATTTATATCCTGATTGTTCATAAAAGTCTGCACTTCAACTGGGTTCTGTTTGCTAAATGGCTTTTAAAACATAGGAGAGTTGAGATTCCAGGCTTTGAAGGATGCTCAGTGTTACTTCCAGTTTGCTGTCAGGAGAACTGAGGCACTTGATCAAGGTCAAAGAAAATGCTGGTAAGAGCAGCTACAGGACCAGACTCATCAAAGTGACCATCTTAAATATCAGAGCCACTTTACTCTTCATGTAGGATTTGATTGTGGTATTTATAATTTACAGAAGCAGTATGAAAATAAAGCATACTGATAAGTAGAAGTACATATAGGTGAATGGCTTTGATGGAAAGGATATAAATACTATCTTCGAAAGCAAATAATGAATAGTTTCAATTATTCATTTGGGTTAAAGAAGAGGAATTGATTCTATCTGTTTGCTGATAAAGGAACAAGGGCAAATGATTTTAAAGTGGAAGTCCAAGCTCTACATACAATGCAAATAAAGAAGAAGAGAAAGAACAGCAGGTTTCACTCACTGGTACTTTTCAAACAGTATGTGAAAACAATTAGCAGAACATTTTTGCCAAGAACTGCTTTGTAAAGGTCAGCTATTGAAGGACATCAAAAATTGCCTGATTTTGTAAAGATTTAACTGTTAAGCAGCTTTTAAAATTCAAAAATCAGCAAACAGGACTGCACAGATGATGATCTTGTGTCCCTAACATAAGAAGGACATGGAGCCGTTGGAGCAAGCCCAGAGGAGGCCACGAGGATGATCAGGGACTGGAGCACCTCCCGTATGGAGACAGGCTGAGAACATTGGGGCTGTTCAGCCTGGAGAAGAGAAGCTCGTGGAGACCTCAGAGCAGCTTCCAGTGTCTGAAGGGGGCTACAAGGATGCTGGAGAGGGACTCTTCATCAGGGACTGTAGCGATAGGACAAGGGGTGATGGGTTTGAACTGAAACAGGTGAAGTTCAGGTTAGATCTAAGGAAGAAGTTCCTCCCTGTGAGGGTGTTGAGGTGCTGGCACAGGGTGCCCAGAGAAGCTGTGGCTGCCCCACCCCTGGCAGTGTTCAAGGCCAGGCTGGACAGAGCCTTGGACCATTTCATCTAGTGTGAGGCATCCCTGCCCATAGCAGGGGGTTGGAACTGGATGACCTTAAGGTCCTTTCCAAGCCAAATCATTCTGTGATTATACAATTCTATCTTGAGCATATATCTATGATACATGCTCAAACTCTAAGATAATTGCTACATGAGAAAATGCTTGCAAGTTAAAAGAAAAAACAACAACAAGAAAACCCCTGGCACACATGGAATCTGAAAGCATCAAACAAAAATGGAAACCAGCCCAAGGGAAGGAAAAAGGAAGGAAAATCCCAATCTGACAGACTGTACTGTAACTACTTTTTGTAGAATCAATCTGTTTTGGAGGCTGCTTGATTCTGGCAGCTAGAAATCATTCAATGAGCCATTAGGAGCACAGGATCTGTCACATCAGGGAAGCCTATTTATTCATCTAGTTTAGTACTCTGACTACACCTGAGGCTTTGGAGAAAGAAGAAAAGAACACCCATGGCATTCTGCTGCAGCCAGGGCTGTAAATAGGCTACCCAGGGAAAACCCCATCTGCTCCATGGAAGAAAAATAAAGGGGAAAAAGAGAAATGGGAGAAAAAGAATAAAGGTTTTGCTGATGCATACAATTCTCTGAAATTAAACAAGCACCTCCTAAGCTGAGAAATGCTGCCCTGCAGCCCAGAGCAAGGCTGCAATTGCCCAAGGCAGTTACCACCAAGCTCTTGCCTCAAGACTGCGTTTCTCGGCTGTGTTTCTACAGTTCTGCCCTAAGCATCTCGTAAGAAGCAAGAGAAAATTGCTTCCTGATTCTCATAAGCAATCTGCACATGACCCAAACCTGTAATTTAATTGCTTTTATAACCTTAGTTTGCGTAACTGCCAGTGTTATTAAACTCTAAACGGGACATTAAACTAGCCAACCAGCACATTTGGTTTGATGGCTCCCTGTATTGACGAATAGGTTTGACTCGGGCCCTAAACAACCCTTCAGCAAAATGGATCTATGACCATTTCATGCTGAAGCTGTTTATGCCTAAGTACACCATAAAACAGTGTCCGTATGGGCTCTCCACAATAGTGCCTGACAGAGCTCCAGCTTCTCCTCAGCAGAAAACACCCCGAAGCTTTCGGTGCTAATCGATCTTTCCAAACTATGTTATAGCTCTTCAAAAGCTGCAAGATCCAAGGTAGTGTTTTAAATCGAACTCCAAAGGCCAAATAATGTAAATGCATCTACCTTTGTGACTTGCATCTCTCAGTCTGAACATATCAGAATGCCTTTGCTCTGACTGCAGAGTCCATGAGCAATATGCTTCTGAATTTAACTTCCTCATGACTTTCATAGAAAAGGAACCTTTTCTTGCATATCTACAGGAAAAGCCACCTCTTTGGAGAAGAAACAAAGCCCACTTTATATAAGAATGCTAGGACAGAATTAAAGAACACCGGAGCTTTAGCTACCATCTTAAAACACAAGATCTTTTAAGGCACACATAAAAACAAGCCAGATATTTTCCCCAATAAAAAGGCAAATCATTCTTCACCTTAGCTTGCAAGAACACCTGCATACATAAAGGTTTCCTGAAGTCTTTCAACAGCTCTTAGCTTCGCACCTGGATTATCTAATCATCACTTCAGAAGTCTTGATCCCAATAATTTGTGCCATCTAAGTGCAAAACTGGCACTTTTCTTTCTACCTTTGAGCCTTTTTGCTTCTGTCCTAACACTGCAGTTATTCTCATTTTCAGCTCCCCTTCCAAGTACCTTCTTCCTTCATACATTTGTCAATGCTGTTCAGTTCCTAAGGAGGTCCTTCTGCTTCCCTCTCCTCTCAGCCAGGAATCACTCTTTCCCCATCCACTTAAAAACCTCACAGAAATTGCTTCATTCCATGTATCTGTCTCAATATGAGGAAGAAAAAGTTCTCCCCTCTTCCGAACTGGGTCTACAATCATCCTGTGTCATGGCAGAGACTGGACCTGAACCTTATGACCCTTTGAAGTCCTAGATAACCCAGAACTGTACCAACCTACATGCTTCTTAACACAAAGAGCAAACCTTCAAATCACAACGTTGCGGAATAATTTTAGCTCCTAAATAATATCAAATGCTGACATAGAAAAGAGATGCCTAATATAACCAAAACCAGCATGCCGAGTACTCACCAAATGTCAGATTTTGTGTTATATCCCTGGTGCTTCAGTGCTTCTGGGCTCATGTAGTATGGTGTCCCAGTAAATGTAGTTGCCAGATCACATGAACCCATCAAAAGACGAGAAACTCCAAAGTCCCCTAAAAGTAATAGCAGAAACAATAATTTATTCCTATAAATCTACGCTTATTCTTTGTGTTTATTATTAGACATGTTACAACTGCATAAAAAAAAACCCAAACCTGCCATTATTTTAAAAAATAGTAACACATTTTTCTGTAATTCTTCAAAATGAAAACACCACAAAATCATAGAACTATAAAATTATGTAGATTTGAAAAGGCCCCACAAGGTCATCTGATTCAAACCCCTGGCTCCAAGAGCAGTCTACTTCAAACCTACATGAGGCTGCTCAGGTCCAGGTCCAGCCAAGCTTGAAGCATCCTCAAGGATGGAGATTTCACTACCTCCTTGGGGCTACATCCCTGTGTCTGCCTGTCAAACACATAGAATCATAGAATGGTTTGGGTTGGAAAGGACCTTAAGATCATCCAGTTCCAACCCCCTGCCATGGGCAGGGACACCTCACACCAAACCATGGCCCAAGGCTTTGTCCAACCTGGCCTTGAGCACCACCAGGGATGGGGCATTCACAGCTTCCTTGGGCAACCCATTCCAGTGCCTCACCACCCTCACAGTAAAGAACTTCTTCTTTATATCCAATCTAAACTTCCCCTGTTTAAGTTTTAACCTGTTACCCCTTGTCCTATCACTACAGTCCCTGATGAAGAGTGCCTCTCCAGCATCCTTGTAGCCCTCTTCAGATACATGTTTAACCACAAATCAAAATCCTATATCAGATATGACTTTATTTAAATCTCTTGACTGAGAAAACCCCTACTAGAAACACACTAAAATGTATCTTTAAAAAATACTGAAATCTCACCAATTTTAAGCAGGTTATTCTTCAAAAATATATTCTTGGCTTTCAAATCTCTGTGAAGTATCCGCCTGGAATATAAAAGGAAATTCAACCTCACCCAACTTGAAGCATTCGCAGTCACGTATCAAATATCTCATGTGTTTAACTTGGCTCCTTGATAAGAAGGCCAGCCCACCATTGCTGCAGTCTAACCTTGTAAGTGCCAATGCACAGATGATGGTATATCAACACAGTGATGCATTCACTGAAATATGCAGGATGAGAACCTAAGAAGCCAGGATAAGAATGCACGCAGGGATCCCAGGAATACAGACACAGATGTAACATGAGCTGCAGAGAAAGGGAGAAAGGCAAGTCTTCCTATCTGACTCTTCTGAAAAGCATTATCTCTGACAGAGAATAAGATGTCTCCCAATAGAATAAAGGGTGAGAAAAAACAGCAATAAGAGATTCTCTTATTCAAGGAACTCTTCTTCAGAGAAAATGTATTACTTGCAAGACAAATATGTATATGGAGGAGGGCAGCAGGTCAAATTTTTACAGTAATGGTGTGGAAGAGAAAAACTTAATGAAGACAGATCAAACGAAAAGAAAAAGACAGCCAGCTTTTACAGACTTATTTTTCCATTAAAGACTGAAGCAACATAATAAGCCACACACCATGTGGGGACAAACAGCATCTTCTCCATTCCTTGAAATCTTAATGTGCGACAGTAATTCTCCAGCCCCTTAGGAAAATAAAATACCTCTAGAGTATACAAAACATGCTCTCAATTAATCCTTGTCAATAACTCTTCCAAAAGGGTTCCCTACCATCTCAACTAAACTAGAACTCATCCACTTCTGTGTTGGCAACACCCAGCGTTGGTTAGCAGCTCTGCTCAGGAGGAGTTTAGAATAGTATTTAGTACATACTGGTTATAGAAACTGTATTTACTTACACAAACACAGTAGTCTTTCCTTCATTTATAACAGAGAAAGAAAGCAACTGATGCTCTAAGATTCTTGAGATGGGGGCAGGAAAAACAAATATAATACTAGATTTAAGTTGTTCTGGAGGAATCCTCAATTATTATCTCAAATTCTATTTTAAAAAAGAATAAATTCAATATACTCAGGAACAGGAGAAAAACAGGAAAAAAAAGTGAAAAATGACAACTAGAAGACATTGTAGTATGCATATAGACTGAGCATGGAAAGCAAGCATTTCTATTTTGATGGGTCAAAGAAAAGAGTTCTTTATGTTTCTTATGGCAGTATTTCTAGCTTTTATTATTCTTATTGCCTGAAAGTAATGCTTGTAGAGAAAGGTCTGCACATGGGGTAAAAGGAAAGTTCCATTCAGCTTGTCTCCATTACATCAGTAAGGAAATTAAAGCAAGGTTATATTCATTATTATTTCTTAAGCCTGTATTATGCACACAGTTTTACGCAAATCTGGCTGTAAATTTAGATTCATTCTTTCCTTACCATTCATCATAGAGAGCCTTGAAAGACCTTGACTTCACCAAGCTAGATTTTTCTTGCATGTTTTTGTTAAGCATTGGTGGGTTTTAACCTTTATTATTAGTATTATTACTTTGTAGAAATATAACCACAGACTCTTGAAACCTAAGGGTTTTCTGGATATCTGTCATCTGAATAACAGGTATCTTGAAGTATAAAAACTATCCATTATCCAGAAAGCTTTCAGTAGGATGTTATTTGATAAGAAGATGAAGAGATGATGTTTCGTTTACGTCAGTTTGAATTAGATGCTAATATAAGCCTGCATAATATTGAATAAAGTGTTACACACATTATTTGCATTAACAATAATTATGCTTTCATATATTAACATGACTAAGAAATACTTGCGGTGATTCTTTGGAACTTCCCATGATGATGTCTCCCGATGAAAGCCACTCTATTCTCCCAGCATACAGAATCATAGCATAGTTTGGGTTGGAAGGGACCTTCAAAGCTCATTTAGTCCAACCGCCTGCAATGAGCAGGGACATCTTCAACCAGATCAGGTTGCCCAGAACCACATCCAGCCTGGTCTGGAATGTCTCCAGGGATGGTTCATCCACCAGCTCTCTGGGCAACCTGTGCCAGGGTTTTACCACCCTCATCATAAAGAACTTCCTCGCATCCAGCCTGAATCTCCCTCTTTTAGTTAAAAACCATCACTCCTCGTCCTGTCACAACAGGCCCTGCTATAAAGTCTCTCCCCATCTTTCTTACAGCCCACCTTTTAAGAACTAACAGGCATCACAGGCAAAGAAAAACAATCTGAAAGAGCAAAAAAGACTGGTTTTAAGATAAGTTTCCAGCACAAGAGTTTTCAACAGGTGAAGCTCAGCTGAAGCTGTGTAAGAAGGACACAAAGTGAATAGTCTATGTCTAAACCCAGAACTAATAACTTTTGCTGCTCTGGAATTAAAACTTCCATCCACAGCAGCTGGGTTTTCTACAGAACAGCACAAGAAGTCCAACCCACATGTAATGAACACTTCAAGCTTCTAACTCTAGGGAAAAGTTTTCTTTGCATTAGAACACAGTTCAAACACATATTACAGCTCTTCTCCATAACACTAATGAAATCTAGTCTGACTCATGGAGGGCTATGTTGTTACATTTCAGTAACTCAAATTAATTTCTTTTAAGCCTAATCTTTTCCATTTTCATTACTGTAAAGGTGGTAGGGCACTGGAATGGGCTGCCCAAGGAAGTGGCGAATGCTCCATCCCTGGCAGTGTTCAAGACCAGGCTGGACAGAGCCTTGGGTGACATGGTTTAGTGTGAGGTGTCCCTGCCCATGGCAGGGGGTTGGAACTGGATGATCTTAAGGTCCTTTCCAACCCAAACTATTCTATGATCTATGATTTAAGCTGTTATTTGGCGCTAAACTAATAAAATAAGGATTAAATTTTCCAATAAGCATACAGTCAAATAACATATAATACAATAAATGCAGTACAGGAGAAGTAAATAAAACAAAACTCTCAAGTCATCGGTATGTAACTGGTAAGGTGCTAATAAATAGCTATGGTTCACGAAATGAAAATTAAATGCTGTCTGGAAAATCAAGATGCTCTTAGTAGAGAATTTAATGACTTTACAGGAAATGCATTGATTGGATACATGTATTTACCAAAGAAAGTTCATTTGTAAGATTTTTTTTTTAAGGTTTGAAAGCAAGTAGAAGATGAGGAAAAATAAAGAGAATAGTAGACAAAAGGGAAAACAAGAGACAAAAGAGGCGTGAGGAAATACAATGAAAGACAAAAAGAATAACTTGTACAGTAGAGTAGAGCACTTCAATTGGAAGGGACCTACAGTGATTATCTAATCCAAATGCAATGTTGTTATTATCAACAACCAAGTTGGTGCTTTCAACCCAATCTTGTTTTCTCAATACTCGCGCAGGTTAGACGACTATGGATTCTAGTTTACATTCAGCTTGAAAACAATCTGAACGCTCATCTCCAGACTGTGGGTGTAACCTGCCCTTCAAACATGAACAGCTTCTTCCCCCCTGGCTGTATTAATAATTTAAGTGATTATTTTAGGCAGATTAGCTCATCTCACCAAAACCAACAACCATCCTTAGCCTCTGCTAAGACAGTCATTGCAGCGGTGACATTCTTATTTCTAAAAGTTTAATAGGGATAATAGCACAAATAGTTCAGCTTTCGGGCTACAGTGCTCTTCAGAAAGGATTCTCTGTCTTGTTGATTAATGTGACATTTCAGAGCTGCCAATAGGGAAAAGCAACAGGGAGGAGACAGGGGAAAGGAGATGCTGAAAGCCGGGTTAACTTTGGAAAAGCCAGTAGGAAAGGAGCCTGGTATTCCCCTTTACTCAGCCATTCCTCCAGATCTCAATGTGGGTGGCCATTTCTTCCTGGCTCAGCACAGCACTCAGTCTCCCTCATACCATGCTAAACAGTCCCACCTACCTCAAAGGAGACAGCACTTTACACAGGAAGGGGACAAAAGAGGGTTCATGCATATCCTGACAATGAAGGAAATGTTTAAATCACCGAAGTCAGCCTCCCTAATCAGATTGCAGGCAAGAACTACGCTCACAGAGATGACCAGGTAGGTATTCACCTGTATCTGCCCCTGCTCAAACCAAGTGTGAGCTCCACACACCACTGTCCGGATGACCTGAAGTAATTATTCAGGTTAATCTTTGATATGCTGCTAAAGGGGTGTCTGTTTTCAAGGAACATATGTATGTAACTTCACTGATTTTACTGGGAGTACCTCAAGCATATAAATTGGATCCTGCACATTAAATACCTGCAAGAGATCCTTGTTGTCCCCCCCTTGAAAAATGACTTTATTTTAACCTTTTAATCCATTTTCTTCTAACAATACTTAATGATTTCTGTTGTGCTGAATTTTTCACCTGGCTCTTAGAAAAAGTGTGTCTAACACTGAAAGACATCTACCACTGCGCTGCTAAAAGACATAATGCACAGTGTTCTTGCAGGATAGATAATTAATTATACTTTAGGTGTATGACTACATATTATATATGTATATATATACTATATATCAATACAAGACAATCCATACAGTTTCATTTCTGTTTTTCTGCAACTAGTTGGTAAGTCTACTCCCTCCCCTCCCAAGCTAAGCACTCTCATATTAGATGACTGTACCTTTCATGCATATAGTTGACTCCGAGTAACAACTGTATAAACCACTCTAATATTTGCCTTTGAGCGAATATCTTCCCAGATTCTTTGTACTCTTGGATTTTGAAGTCTAGATCTCCACCCTGAAAAATACCACAACATATTTGTACATTTAAAGTAAGGTTTTCAAGTGTCACCTTCTTCAGCAAAGTACAGGACTCCGCTTTCTTAGACCTTCAGGGTCCCTACCATGTAGTCTATAAAACTCATGCTTGCAAACAGATTCTGAACTCTCCCAGCACCAAAAGTATTCACAACTGAGAATCAAAATGAGCTCAAACAATCTGGCTGCAGAGGAAAAGCAGGTCAGTTTTACCTTGCTGTTACACAACAACAAAGTATTTCAACTGTTCTCACTTCATGTCACCCACCTTTACACACGTGCATCTGAGCCCGTCACCTCAAACTCCCTTTATAGTTAACACAAAGGAACAGACACTGCAGTCAAGAGACCCTGTTGTTTGTTATGCTGAAATACCCACATCAGCATAAAAGAAACCATGCTGTTCTCTTAACAATAAAACACAACGTTCTTAATCACAACACTCTGCCCCTCTTTCAAATCACTTGTATTGGAAACCATAGAAAATTGAAGCTTCAAGATTCTCTAGCATGTGTTATTGTCAATACTTTATGAAAACGACACTTGGCCTTGGAGCAACGCTAGAAATGGAGCAATATGACACACAGGAGGCAGTGAAAACAAACCAGAAATACATACAGGAAAAGACTACTTGCAAGTTCCAAGTCAGACATTTGTTAAGAAACAGTTGAAAACCAGCATGACAAAAGAGGGGGTTGAGGAGAATTATATCAAAACTGTTCATTTTGCTAAAAAAGATGATTGTCAACCCAGTTTATAAAATAAATGGATTTTGTCTGCAAAACGCTCATTAGTGGCAAGCACTGTGTTGAAGTAGCAAACCTCAGGGAAAAGAGACTGAGTCTCACTGTACTCTAGTGAATAACTACCTTACATCAGGACCGCTTATTCTCCATAAATCATTACTTCTACGTTACATGTTCTGCATAAAATGAGAAGTTTCATGTGCCATATACAAGAAAATAGTTTAGCCTATACAGCATTACCTGTACCACCACTTCCCCTCATCAACCCTTCCCACTGTTGACTCTCAACATTTTATGATCTCTTCAGCATTTCTTGGTTTTCTGTTCCTAACAGAAATGGATGCTGGATGCCAGAGCGGGACTCTTCATCAGGAACTGTGGTGACAGGACAAGGGGTGATGGGTTCAAACTGAAACAGGGGAAGTTCAGGTTAGATCTAAGGCAGAAGTTCTTCCCTGTGAGGGTGCTGAGGCGCTGGCACAGGGTGCCCAGAGAAGCTGTGGCTGCCCCATCCCTGGCAGTGTTCAAGGCCAGGTTGGACACAGGGGCTTGGAGCAACCTGGTCTGGTGTGAGGTGTCCCTGCCCATGGCAGGGGGTTGGAACTGGATGATCCTAAGGTCTTTTCCAACCCAACCCACTCTGTGATTCTAACACCACAGTGCTTCATACTGCTGCTACAAATCAAGCGGGTTCTGTCTTTGCAGATCCACACATTTCTGCCCTGTACTTCGAATGAGTTTGTAGTAATCTCTGTGGTCTCTAAGTCACAACATTCAAGTGTGGAGGGTCAAAACAGAAAGACAATGTTTTGTTATCTATGCAAAATGTGTTTCCTGACAATTTCCTGCAATTGATTTTAATTGCAATGCCTGAATCATCTTGCTCACTAGGGAAGGGAATATGGCTTCAGCTCCCCATATGCCTCCCTGCCACAGCCCACAGGGAACCTCTTCTGGGAACTTGGAGCTCTCCACAGCTGCTTCCCCTTTGCAACTCCAAATGTTCAGCAGCTTCCCCCTGGTTGCTTGCAGCAAAGCAGAGGAAGGAAAGACAAATCGACTGTCACAGACAATCCAGAGCCGACTGCAGCAATAGCCTAGAGGGCCTATAGCTATAGGGGCTGCTCAAACGTGTCAGCTGGCTACTGGCCCCGAGGGACTATCCAGGTGAGCACAAAGTGCAGCAGCCTGCAATTACTGTTTCTCCCTGTCCCATTGTGTCCCCTCTCTTGATCACACATTGCCATGAAAGACGCAAAGAAGTATAGGACCTACAGATTCAGGCTAGTGAATACTCTCTTAGGTTGGGGATATTTCCTTTTTTAAGCCTAAGGAGAACAAAAGTGGTCGAATAAAGTACTGCACATGCCCTCAGGTAACTGCATGGCTTTTAGCTTCAAGCAGAAAAGACTGGTCTCAATGTCCTACAATTAATTTCACCTTGATTTTTTGTCTAAAAAAGGAAAACAAAAAATACATCATAAAAGATGAAACACTGCTGCCACGGAACTTTGAAGAAGTTTGTTAACCCAATTTTGCATTTGGGACAGTCAGTATAATGAAGTTCATAAGAAATGGATTTTAACAAATTAAGTACATAGGGAGTTTCCAAGCTGCAGTTTCCATTTAAATATCAAGAATATCAAACACACCAGTAATCTATTTAAAACAGCTTAGCATCTGGAGCTGCTAACGTGAACAGCCACTGATTGCTTTAGTTACTCCTTTTGCCGAGACTTCTTTAGTGCATGTATACTCACATCACAGCTGAAAGCACAGTAAAGAGACAGAAATAATTGTTGGGGGGAAAGTACAACTAATTCTGGCTTATCATGTCATCAAATTATGCAACTTTTTAAGTAACTACTTTGTAAAAACTGTATTTTATTGAAGCAGAATTTACATTACAAGGCTCATGTAGGCACATTTTTGTTTGACATTTGCCTTGTCTGCCAGTATTTATATTGCCTGCAATAAAGCTAAAATAAAATAAAATCAAATAAACAAAATAAATAAATAAATAAATATTATTTTAGCTAAAATAAAGCTTTTGATTTGGGAAAAGAAGCTCAACAAGATCAAAACAGAACACATATTTCTTTTCTGTAATTCTGAATGAATTCAGTTATGATAAAAGACACTGAGCTGAGCAACAGGGACCGATGTCCTCTTTTGTTCACAGCACAGGTATAGCATGGGGCAGCTGCATAGGAGGCTCACTCTGTGCTATTCATGCAAGAATTAACAAAGCACTGTGGCTAATGAATAAGTCACAGTACTCTGGAGCAAACAGAAGGCTCAGGGGATAGTTCTGTTTCCATGCCAACTTCATGTTTATTCTGTGTTTTGAGTCTGCCCAAGAGTACCAATTACTGCAAATCTGGTAATTATTCTATGCATGAGGAACTGAATGAGCTAGACTTCCAAACAAGGATCAGGTAGCAATACATTTTCTCTCATTTTCAATTTATGTCTGATTTAATCATGTATCTTTTAGGTAAAAAAGTCCAAATCCCACCACATACAAAGGTAGGTTGTAGATAAGTCAATATCACAGAATCATAGAATAATTAGGGTTGAAAAGGACCTTAAGATCATCCAGTTCCAACCCCCCTGCCGTGGGCAGGGACACCTCACACCAAACCATGGCACCCAAGGCTCTGTCCAACCTGGCCTTGAACACCACCAGGGATGGAGCATTCACAACTTCCTTGAGCAACCCATTCCAGTGCCTCACCACCCTCACAGTAAAGAACTTCATTCTTATATCCAATCTAAACTTCCCCTGGTTAAGTTTGAACCCGTTACCCCTTGTCCTATCACTACAGTCCCTAATGAAGAGTCCCTCCCCAGCATCCTTATAGGACCCCTTCAGATATGAAGGCATGTCTTCTGAAAATACTCTAACTAAAATAGAAAAGCACTATATGAAACTTGCTTTGTATTTTCCTTGTCTGAACATTTGATTAAATACACTGTAATTGCTTAAATGCAATGATACTACTTATTATGTCCTTTTGGGAAAGATCAGAAGCCCATCTGCGTGGATCAACTTTCATTCTGGCGTGACCTAGTAGACTCAAACCTGAAAAGATTCAGCTGCACAATGAACACATCCATTTCCTCCTCCTTCCTTTGCCTTGCTCTAATACATTCTCACGTGTTTGAGTTTATGACTCCCAGTTCCAAAGGTTATTCTGCACCAAAACATTTCCATGCAGGGCAGTCGACTTGATAAAAGAAATACTGAGGTGCTACAGCAGCTCATGATTACCCTGGTGACTCCTACCATGCTCTTTTTTATTCATCTATAACTTTACCCCAGATGGGAAAGAACTAAAAACAAAGAGAGACAGAGACTGAACAGCAGTGGACAAAAGGAGCTAGTCCAGCTCTATAATGCTGTTGAAAGAGGCTCCTTTATTTCTATAGGTTTAACTGATCTCATGTTGTCCCACTTTCTGCCACTAGTATAGAGAAGATTAATCTTAGGGTATGGTAATATCTGGGCAGTTTGAATAATCCTTCAGTTTTGAGCTCTGGATTTCCACAGAGAGTTGGCAACACTCTCAAGCCCCAGCTGTCAGACATGCAGGGAATGATGCAAAGAGCTTCTGCATGGCTGTCAAAATAATATGTGAACAAATATTCACATTGAATAACAGCAATAAATAGGCATTTAACTGTCATCAAAGACAGCTTCTAAGGAATCAGTGACTGGCAAGAACCGGACTTCTTTAACTTTAACGCCAAAGCCAAATGCTTGGAGAAATGTGGTTAGTTGATACAAGTCTGATTTGTGGACAGGTACCCCAGCAGCCCAAGATCATTAGCTTCCAAAGCATTTGAAAGGTCTATCAGAGCACAACTGACGAGTCTGCTTCACAGGTTTGTATAAAGATCGCTGTAGGTACATCCATATTTAATACAATGTAGGCTCTTGTTTTCTATAAACCCTTAAAAAGCTGGCTTAAATATGTTTACATTCTTATTTTAAAGCCCTAAGACAGATTTAAGCAATGTGCTTTAATATTTGTTGTATCTGCTACATCCTGGTCTTTGACATGCTCTATTCTTCACTTCATAAAGACAATGCTGCTACCAAACTCACTATCCACATGATCAGGCTTAAGCTTCTTGTAATCCCCTCCAAATCACAAGTGAGTTTTCCCTTCCTCATTTACATCAGATTTCATACCACGTCCCCACACTCCTCTCATCCTGTCTTACCTATCAATGGTAGGTACATACATGGCACAACCTTTCTGAGCTCACTCACAGATCTGGTAATGAGTCTGCATTTAAATCTTTCTTATCATGCTGATTACAATGAACAAAACGAACTTGTGTTTAAAAATTCCTCTTCTGGGGTTTGTTTGCCCATGAGCAATGTGCCTCACATGAGCAGATAACATTGCTTACTTGAGATACAACCAACAAGGAACGGGCAATGCCACAGGTAACAAATGGAAAGTAAAATCAAATTAAAACATTAAAAAGACTGGGCTAGGCTTCTTTCAAGACTCTGTTTTAAAGCACACACCCTGTCAAATCGCTCCCAAGTAAGCCACAAGTCTCACCTCACAGTATTCAGTGATAATGCAGAAACCATCTTGCTCCACAAAGCTTGCATAAAACCTGACAATGGCTGGATGGTCTAATTTGGAGAGTAGCTGTGCTTCCAGATTTGCTTCAACTGTTTCATTAGGCTTTAAGTCTCCAACAGAGATTGCCTTTAGAACCTTTCTAGAGGAAAAAAAGAAATCTTTATATTAATCAAACCTGAAAAAAGATCAACTATAAAATCATGTAATGCTCAAAAAAAAGTCGGAATTTCTTAAAATGCAAAATAACACAAACCAAATATTTGGCAACATGAAATGATGAGGAAAATATGGGCAAACAGAAGAATGCCTTAAAATGCAAATAAATATGTTAGTCACCACAGCGATCAAACAACGCTTTAAATATACTGTTTCCAAGTATTTTTCCCTGCACTGTTTCCTTCATGACATGTTTTCAGTGCTACGGATTAATGCATAATAACAAACATAAATAAAAAGTCAAATCGAAGTGATTTCAAACCCACTCGCAGCATATGCTCGATATTCACGTGTGAAATAAGAAGCAGCGAGGAACTGGTTTTGCTGCTCTTGCCAAAGTCTCTCCATGGAAGCATGAGGAAAATCACACGGAGGGTAGCATTCCTGTGACAGTTCTTCTGGTGATAAACCCAGGATGCCTCTTCCTTTTCCCCTGAAAATCAGCCTGCCCTTCACCTGAACCCCTAAGCAAAAAGAGCACATCTGGATTTGGGGCTGAGACTTCATTCAACTGTTTTGATGGACTCTAAGCTTTCAGTGTTCAGCATTGTGAATGTGAATGCGCCAGAGGAGAATTTGTAGTTCAGACTTAGCTCTATACAAGAACCTGGAGCTAGGGAGTTTACTGTCAACTTGGCCTGGAGAAAAGGGCGCTTGAGGAAGCATGTTTTGCTGTGATCTTCATGATGAAATGTTTAAAAGAGGCATACAGCACCCAAAGGGATACCATTTCCACCTCCTTTACCAGCACTGAAGTACAGATCTATGTGGTCAATGTCTGAAGATGCTGTTTGACACTACTGGAGAATATCATAGCATTTTACTAAAACAAAGCGATGAATTTCCAGTAACTTTTGAATACATGGAAGTCAAGTTCCACACTGAAGCGATGTCTTCACCGTCCTTTTAGTAATTATCCCATTCAACACTGCATGCTTGTAAAGTCACAGTAGCTACACATGACAGCAATAAAACTACAGTAATTTGCTTGATCGAAGGAAAAAAAAGCTGTATTTCTTCATAAAAAGATTTCTTCCTCAATCTCACCCAGCAGTTTCTGACTAACAACGCATGAATTTCAATGTAAACTTCCCTAACCCCCATCTGGCAGCGTGATGAACAAAATATACTGTTGGATTTGCCTGCATCTCTCCAGACAAGCTTCATGCTACACAGACAGGCTAATACATACTGCAATCTTGTCATCATTGACGCGGGGACATTACCCCTTCCTTCATCTAGATCACACCACGGAACTGACAAGCGAGTCCTTTTTAAACACCACTTAAGACAAGTTTCTTGTGTACACAAGACAACTATAAAAGCCTCCTGTGTGGATGTGTAGGGACAGCTTGTCATCTTAGTCACTCGGTGATTCTGAAGCTGTCATCAGCTGTCACATAACAAGGCAGGCGTTTTTCTTCTTTAAAGTCATTCCCAGAAGAAGGAATCAGGAGAATGCACTTTTTGTAAACACATTTTGGGTTGCTGCTACACAATGTTAATTCATACCCAGATCTGGAAGTCGTGTGCATCTATGCAATTAAGACGAAGCATTGGTGCATACTGTTTCTGTATGTAGATAAGGTTTGACTTTACTGCATTTAATACAAGGAATATAACCAGGCTCCAGGTTAAATGCAAAGCTTTTAATGTCTACTTTAGTAAATACACTTCAAAATTGAAAACGCATACTTAAAAAGCCTCTGTATTAAGTAGAATCATAGAATCATAGAAGTAATCGTAAGTCATTAATCATAAGTATTGACCAGAAAGTTATGTCAGTCTCAGAAGCCTCTCAGAAAGAATGGACAACTCCTCATCTAAAGTGGCTATTTTCTGATAGCTTTAGAAGAAAACCATGGAGCTAAAAGTCTTCAGTCAGAGATTCATCTGTATAAATGAACTATACTTTTCAATGCACGAAACACTCAAAGAGTGCTTAAATTCATTCTACCCCATTTCAGTATTTACACAAGTAACTTCTACCCAAACAGGCAGCTAAAATTGACACTTTCTGTGATTTACAAGATAACTGAAATTTGGCATCTCTGCTGATGTCAGATAGGTCCATAAACTGATAAAAGATTAGCAACCACAAGAAATAACAAACTTCTCCTAGCTAAAGAATCCTGACTGCATTTCCCCTCTATCAAGAGAATCCAGACCTATGCTTTGAAGGAGACAGTGTTTCTGTTTCTATGATCCAACCACCTGCATTTTAAGGTTGGTTTATAGTAAGGAGTAGGTTATCATTGCTCATAATTCAGCCATAATACTTGCATATCATCTGCTGAAAATCTGCCTGTACTTAACAGTTTAGAAGCATAGGTAACACAAGGTATTTTAAACAAACCTTTGTGACACGAACATTTATTATGAATATTGGGAATAACAGCCTGCCCTGTTTTGTCAAGACTCCATCTGGAGTATAACAGGTTCATCTGAAAGTCAAGATTCTTCATAAACCCTACACCTGTATTTCCTGCAGGATTTAAAATGTCCAAAACCATCTGCATGAACTAAGAAATCATAGATATAAGTGGTACATACTGAAAAACAGGTAGAACAACTAAAACGTTGGTGCCTTTCAAATACACTTTACCCCTTTTGATATAATGCTAGAACAGATGAACTAATTCAAATTTATCTATTTATTCTTATAAATAAATGTCCCTAAAGACAAGGTAAAATGGCAGCGAACACACAACCAGAAACCTTGGTTATAGAAGTGCTAGCAGATTTCTTAAATACAGAACAATACCCTCCAGATTTTAACTGCGTAGGGAAAGAAAACCCCAAACCAACCAACCTAGCCTTGCAATTTAACAGCACAGACACTTTGAACTTGATCTCGAACTGACCACAGCTGAATCTTGCAGTGAATGCATTTGCATCTTAAGAGCAAGAAGTTCCATGTTCACTATTTATACGCAATCCTGGAGGAAGCCGAGTATGGTGCAGGGAATAGCATCACAGTGGGAAAACTACATGAGAGAGAAGTTTGCTCCCTAAAATACAGTGAGCAGCTGCCCTGTCTCAGCAGTGCCTTGGCAGGATCCCAGACTTCCCCCAGGAACACCTTCTGGCTTTCATCAGCAGATCCTTTTTGGCTTACACAGTCACGCTTTGAAGTGCAGCCAGACCAGTGCAATAGCACGGAGCAAATGCGGATAAATAGAGCAAGACTTAAACCAAGAGGAAAACAAGCACGAAGGTGGAATCCTCCAGGACACAGACAAACGGTGGGAATCCCTTTTGGAGCATCACTAGTGACTGACAATGTTCCACAGCAGTGTTTATCTCGGTCGGTTTGCACCAATCTAAAATTAAACATTTTACTAACCATCTGCTATTTGTTTATGCTGATGACACACTTTATTATTACATAATTTGCTTTACTGGATCAGATGCAGCTCTTAGAAGAAGGCAGCCTTTCACAAAATGCACTCCGCTTTTGGACCAAACCGTGACATGAATTATCAACCAGGTACATTTGCTTGCGGATAATGAAGTAAAAGAAACCTATCTCTTTATATGTCCAGATAAACAGGTCTTCGAGAATAGCAAAGAGAAGGTGTGTTCTAGGAATACAGGGTCAAAATCTGGATTTTTGTCATCAAATAGACACTTCATTTTACACAGGCGGTTGTTTAGCTTTAATTGCAACCTGAGATTAGCAAGACCTGCTAGCAGGTAAGCAGTCTGCAAAGCAGGGAGCTTGTCATTCCATTTAGTTCCTATTTCCAAGTTGTCAGTGTAGAGACTTGTGCCATAACCCACAGCTGTGTATTGTATTTCTGTCCACTCTGACCTTTGTAGAACTGTATCTTCATCCTCGTAACTCCTCAGTACAAGGACTAGATGTGAGTCTGTAAAAACATATCATCTCATACCAGCTCTGTCATTAGGTCTGCAACTGGTCATAAACAATAAAGTTAAAGGAGTGCCTAACTAATGAAGTCTTACATTCTGTTTATCAAATGGCAAAGAGAGAAGGTCTGGTACTAAAAATGGGGACCAAAATGAAGAAGAGGCAACAACCCCCATAGAATCACGGGATGATTTGGGCTGGAAGGGACCTTAAAGCTCACCCAGTTCCAACCCCTCCCATGGGCAGGGACACCTCACACCAGACCAGGTTGCTCCAAGCCCCTGTGTCCAACCTGGCCTTGAACACTGCCAGGGATGGGGCAGCCACAGCTTCTCTGGGCACCCTGTGCCAGCGCCTCAGCACCCTCACAGGGAAGAACTTCTGCCTAAGAGCTCATCTCAGTCTCCCCTCTGGCAGGTTAAAGCCATTCCCCTTGGCCTGTCCCTACAGTCCCTTGTCCAAAGCCCCTCTCCAGGTTTCCTGTAGGTCCCCTTAAGGTATCAAAAGGCCACAGTAAGTCATTTCAACACCTTAAGGTATGTATACTTTAAGGCCTTTTATACACAAATTTGGTCTCTAAAACAGCTCCCACAGTATTAAAGCTGTTTGGGAAGTTCAGTAACAAGGATATCACATATCAAGGATTTCATATGGCACCCTATTGCCTGGAATCTGCTCCCTCACTTAGGCTGATATTCTAGTTCCACTGTAATTTTCATCTAATCCTTACACCATCATACACACAGCTATCCCGTTACCAACAGTCTTACCAGATTTCTCTGCCTGGCGTCAGTGACTGGTTTTCCTACAGTTTACACCTTACTAACAGAAATTCAGATAGCCATTCTTTCCATTTTATCCATTATATTTGGAGCAACAGTAGCTGCACGCTCAGACATGTTAATGATATGTGTCTATTGTAGAGAAAGAAGCAGGTGGTGAAAACATGGGATGCAAAAAGTCGCCATACACAAATCAGTCCTACCTAGAATGAATACCTGGTTTTAGCTAAGGAAGGAAACATTCACAGGAAATTAAGAGCCCATGAT